GCCGGCATGCCGCTCACCGCGTACTGGAGAAATGCGCCGGGGGCTGCCAAAACCAAGGCCTCCAGCGTTTTGACGACAAGTTCGCTCTTTGTCGTGGTTCTCAGTGTCTGGAGGCCGTCTCCTGGCTACGGAACTAAAACAAAAAATTAGCCTGGCGAAGGATCCAACCATACGAAATTGTGGTGAATATCGGGGTTGTTAATATCGCCTTCGGTGAACCTCCTTATGGGGCCACGAAGCGCGCGAAGAGTGTGCCGAAATGGGGCAGGGCGGAGCTCCCTATGGGGCCGCGACACGTGTGAGGGGTGTGTAAAAATAGGGCGGCGCCGCCATGCGGACTGCGCCACTGGGACCTTAGGTGGAGATCCCTATGGGGCCACGAAACGTGTGAGGGGTGTGCCAAAATGGGGCGGCGCCGCCATGCGGACTGCGCCTCTGGGATCTTCGGTGGAGCTCCCCTCCCCATGGGGCCACGCAACGTGTGAGGGGTGTGCCAAAATGGGGCGGCAACGCCGTGCGGACTGCGCCACTGGGACGTCAGGTGGAGCTCTCGATGGGGCCACGAAACGTATGATGGGTGTGCCAACATGGGGCGGCGCCGCCATGCGGACTGCGCCACTAGGACCTTGGGTGGAGCTCCCCATGAGGCCACGAAACGCGTGAGGCGTGTGCCAAAATCGGGCGGCGGCGCCATGCGGAGTGCGCCCCTGGGACATCAGGTTGAGCTCCCTATGGGGCCACGACACGTGTGAAGGGTGTGTACAAATAGATCGGCGCCGCCATGCGGACTGCGCCGCTGGGACCTTCGGTGGAGCTCCCTATGGGGCCACGAAACGTGTGAGGGGTGTGCCAAAGTGAGGCGGTGACGAGAGGAGGGAGGAGAGGGAGGAGGAGAAGAGGAGAGGAGAGGAGAGGAGAGGAGAGGAGAGGAGAGGAGAGGAGAGGAACGTGGGGACCGTCTTTTCAAAACAAGGACCCAACACCACAGGATGGTTTGGAAAAACGATCCAGGACGTTGTCGAGAGGTCCAGGGACCCTGCACTTGAAAGCGTCAAGACATCGGAGGTCTGGAAATCCCTTTCTCGCCCAAGGCGTCACCAGCCTCTCACGCGCCATGCCAAACCCCCGCCCGACTGAGGGGCAACGATGGGGGGGGGGGCGGCTGGCTCAGGGGGGGAATCTCGGCCTGGAATCGGCGATACACCGCCGATGCATCGGCGATAGGCCCCGCTAGCGAATCCGCACGCTCCTGGGCGAGGCGGGGCCGAGCTATCAGACCCCTATCGATGATCAATGGGCGGCTGGAGGTCCGCGCCTCCAGAGGGGCGCCCTGGAGGGGACCTGGGGCCTCCCCGGAGCGGCAGGGATCGCCTCCCCAAACAGCCGAGGCCACAATGTGCTTTCGGTGCGCGGCCTCGCCCGTAGTGCAGTTTTTTTGGTTGAGGTGTCTCGGCGTGACGAGGCATTCACCCCAAAGGGTCTTTCGACCCCCCCCCAGCGGTGGAAACTGATTATCGTTTCGACGCCCTTATTGACGCACTGGGGTCCCTCCAATGATAGTCAGTCTATATTTCTCCGCGGCATCCGCCGCGCAACAGCGACGATGACCACGACTTCGCTGACGACTACGACTGCGAGGAGCATGAAGATCAGGGACGAGCAAACACGAAAGACCCTTAGGGGTTAAACAAGGCTGAACCAAATGGACCATCGCAACACAAACATCAATCGAATAGGGAATCGACTGCATAATGTATTTACCCCAGAATGAATCTCTCCGTCGAGTCAGCGAAACAAAATCGTATAATGTTCTGTCGATCTTCGGAACATTATACTTTATATTATTGTTTGGTGATCCGCTGGAGAAAATTGAAGTCTGGGGTAAATCAATTATGTAGTCGATCCCCCACTTGAATCCTAAAACATACTGGAGTGCAGGCTTTCCGTGCGCGGCCTTGGATGTCCCGATCCCCTTCCCCGGGGCCACCTTCTTTCGCCCCGGACCCATTATGTGGATGGCCCCGGGGCCGAACAAAGAGCTCCCGAGCCGAAGTCGAGGAACAGCGTCCGGACCGAAAACAGCAGATCGTCGCAGATCTGGGCTTTCAGGTCGCAACTCGGCTCTCTGGCGGCCGTTCGTGAAGCTTCTGGCGCCCCTGGAACGCCCTCGGCGAGGCGCAACTACTGGAACGCATTCCGAGGCTGGAGGAGCTTCGGGAACCGACGAGAGCGTCCGAAAACGATATCGCAGAAAAACGCCTGGCCTGAAAGATCATGGACATCTGGGTCTGGCAGCACCCGAGATGCGCGGATGGAGGGCCTCGACCCGGGGCGCACCCGGTCCTTCTCCGCCCGCAGCTCCCGCGCCCGCGCCGCCAGGGCGGCGCTCGCTGCCGGAGGCAGGAGCTCGCCGCCCCCCTCGAGCAGGTCCGCGGGCGTGGGCGCGATGGGCGCGTCGCCCTCCAGCGGGACGACCATGGCAGGCAGCGTGCCCTGCTCGTCCAGCGTGAGGATGTCGGAGGATCAGAGAGCGGCCAGGCGAGGCAGCGGCGGCACTGGCTGGCGTCTCGCCGTTCTCTCTGGCCCTCCCTGGCGCTTCTCGCCGCCACGGCCGCATCCGCCTCGGAAAGTCCTCGCGCAGGTGGCGCCGCGGTGCGGCTGCGGCCGCGGCGACCGCCGCTGCGGCCTCGACGGCGGCCGCCACTGCGGCCGCGCTGGCGGCGACCGCTGCGGCGACCGCTGCGCGGCATCCACCGCCCAGAAGGTGAGAAGGTGGAGGTCGAGGGAGCGGGTCAGGATGCACCCTGGAGGGATCCAGGGAACGCTTTTGAGCGGATCTGGCGAGGGCGACAGAGCAGCCGTCCTGTCAGGCAGATCCAGTCGTGGCGGCAGTTGGCCTCCAAGCGGATAACAACCGAAAGCGCCGCGAGGGCTGCCGCTGCCTCGACCAGCCCCCCTCCGAGAGAAGCCGCCAAGCGGGCGCCGGCCCACGAAGACCTGCGGCAACGTGGCCTGCCCAGAGAGCTCCGCCGCCTCGCCGCGCCGCTGCGGCTCCAGGTCGCAGTCGACCACGCCGAAGGCCACGCCGCGGAGCCTCAGCAGCGCCTTGGCGCGCATGCAGAAGGTCGGGGGACGTCAGCGGACCACCTCACCGACCCTGGCTGGGCCCGGCCTGGGCCCGGGATCGGTGCCTTCCTGGCATGGCCGCCGAGGCGTACACAACCTAGGGCTCCCAACTTCGCGCTTCGCGCTCCGCGAAGCGCGAAGCGCGAATAACTTCGCGCTCTCGCGCCGCTCCCCGAAAGGGAGAAAAGGAGGACGAGGAGGAGGGGGCGAAGGAACGAGGACCGCGAAGCGCGAATAACTTCGCGCCCTCGAGGGCGCCCTTGACAACGCGCCTGGGCCTGGGACCGGCCCGACCGGGACCAGTGAGGCGGTCAGCTGACGTCCCCCGAGAAGGGGCAGCCCATGCGCGTGAACATGATGACACCGGGCTCCCCCGTCGCGTCCGCGGCAATGGCGGACGGGGCGACGAGATCTGCACACATCATCCATTTCGCCTCTGGCCCAGCCCATCCTGGGACCCAGGAGGGCGGCGCGGCGCATACACGCCGCCCGCCCACCCCCCCCCCTCCCACTGGCGTGGCCACGGAGGCATGTGCGCTGGTCCTGCGCCGCCGAAGCCCTCGACCTCCAACATCCGAACCCTCCGTGCAGCAGGTGGCGCCGCGCTGGCGTAGGCCGCTGCGGCACCTGCCGTTCGGAGGGTGTGGAAGGTGGATGTCGAGGAAATGTGTCCATATCCACTCCTTCGGCGTCGTGCCCGAGGGGCTCGAAGAGCGGTGTGTGGGCGGGCGGCTATCCACAACTCCGCCCCTCCACGAGGTCCCCTGGGCACGACTCCGCAGCGGAGGATGTGGGCATTGCGCCCGTGCCTGAATTCTCGACGTCGGCGCCGCTCGCAGAGGCAAGAGCGGGAACCGCGAAGGCCTGGGGCCCCTGCGGGGCCCCAGATCTGGCCGAAACCTGCGCCTCCCCCCAAAACCACGACTGCAGCGCAACCTTTCCATGTGATCTGAACCCTGGCAGTATTTCCGCTGTCGGGGGCTGCTATAAAGGTGCCCTGGCCCCAGCTGCCCCCAGCTGTTCCCTCCATGTTTGAACCCCTGGGGCACTCTGAGTCTCGTGATGGGCTCTCTGGAGGCTGTGGGGGCCTCCTGGGAACTCCTGGGGGCACCTTGGGCAAGGGGCACTTCTGGCAACACCCGGACATGTTGTGGCGGTGGTGGAAGAGGCTCGACGCATACACCAAGTCGTCTGGTCGGCCAAGGAGCTCGGTGTGCACACGCCCCAGCTTCCCAGCCTGTGCACTTGGACGCTGGAGCGTCCACACACACCGAATTCCCTCACCGAACGCCTTGGCTTCTCGGCCGGCCAAGCGACGTGGGGCACCGTCACAGCGGCAAGGGCATAGTTTGAGAACGCAGAGGCCTCGAAACGGCGCGAAAGCCAAGGATGCGCACGTCCGAATGTGCCAAGGATGGCAAGAACCACAGGACGCGAGGTGCCCTTGCGAGAAGTATCCATCCTAAGCGCCGATCTTGACTGTATACATCGAGGCCCTTCGATATGAGCTTGCTGGGATCAGCCCGGGGGCGTTAAGGGAATACGGGAGCTATCAGCGGATGCCAAAGTGGATTCGTCATGTCTGGCCTACTATATCTTTTACGTGGGTTGCAAATGCCCCACGTGGCTTGGGGGGACAACGATTCGGGCTGAGTGGACACCGCCCATTTATCGGAGCTGTCTAAGCTCCGCGTAAGCCACCCGGGGCATAAGCAACCCACTTTTCTTAAGCTAGCTCGAGCCAGATACACCTGGCATCCACTGATAACCCCCTGGCCCCTCAGCACCCCGCGCGCCGATCCCAATGGGCCCGCGATCGGCAGCACGATGGCGACCGCGCTCGACAATCGTAGGCATCGGATTCGTGCCCCCGAGTGTCCAAGGCGGCCCAAAATGCCACGGCGGCCAACTATACAATCGAACCTAAGACATAATGACATCCTTGAGGATCATGACACCCTTCCGCTGGCCAAAACTGGAGTAAACTCGAGGGCACCCTCCCTCAGGGTGCACAAGAGCTTCCAGCAGGCACTGAAGACATCAGGGCGCCCTCCCCGAGCCGACCTCGATCCTATATACCTCGGCCCGACTGTAGCCTTCGCCTCGGGGCAGCTCGAAAAGGCCCCCAGGGCGGCCCGAGAGCACCACGATCGGGGAGACGTAAGACCCGGGTACGGGGGACTCGGGTTGGCCCGACGAGGTCGTCAAAAAAATGACGAGGCCGAGCCTGCATTTTGACGAGGCCTCCCGCTGCAGACGCCCCACGACACTCCTCCTCGTCAAAATCCGAGGCGCGGTCGTCAAAAAACGATGGCGAACCCGAGTCCTGGCAAACCCAGGTCTTACGCTCCCCCGACACGAGAGGACCCCCTCGGGCGGACGATGCACGGAGAGCCTCCTCGCCCGAGGCGGTGCGGGCCGTCCGCCCGCCGCGCGCGCCGCCGCCCGCCCCCGGCAGCGGCGGCCCCGCGCCCGCGGGCGGGCAGCTGCGGCCCGCGGGCGGGCAGGCGCCAGCGCCGGACGGCGGACGGGAGCCGCCTGGGGGGGGGGAAGGGGGGGAGGAGTGGTCCCCATGCCCGCCCAGAGGGAGGAGGGAGGAGGGAGGAGGAGGAGGAGGGAGGAGGAGGAGGAGGAGGAGGAGGAGGAGGAGGAGGAGGAGGAGGAGGAGGAGGAGGAGGAGGAGGAGGAGGAGGAGGAGGGGGGTGGGAGGAGGGAGGGGCGAGGATCTGCGCAACAAGGTCAGCAGGGACCGCCGCAGGGGCGCACGCTACCCGATCGTGCGCCTCGTCCCTCACCCCTGGCCTCTCCTGAGCGGCTCTGGGGGGGGGAAATCAAAACGGCCTGTTCGTGGTGGGGCGCCTACCTTGCCACAAACGGTTCTTAACGTCCAGAGATCGTCCGAGGACTCACCCCGAGGCAACTGGTCAGAAGTCCAATCTGTCGGTCCGTGGCGTACCTAGCGCCCGACCGGCATAACACGACTCTTGGGAGGCGCACCAGCTGGTGGCCTCTGGCGCGGGCCCGCTCGATCCTACCTCCGTCCCCGTACGGCAGCTCCAAAAGGGGAGGGGGGGGACCAAACTGAAGGCGCCCCAGGACACACAAATAAATACACACAAATAAAACAATTCCCCATATTTTCCCATATTTTCTGGGTTTTTGTCTTCCCCCCCACTTCCCATATTTTCCTATATTTTCCTGGGAATCGACGATTAATTGTGTCTGTGTTTTTTCCTCTCCTGACAAACGGCGGAGGTAGAGGTCCCGCAGGTTCCTCCACTTCCCCGCTAGGCTCGGGGTCGGGGTGCCTGGGGTGGCTCGGAGACTCAGTGGGTGATTCCGAGCTTTCGGAAGTGTCAGCGAGCCCTTGCCCAAGTACTTCTACACAGGCTGCGAACTCTGACGCGTCTGAAACGAGTTTAAAATCGCTGGATATATGCAGCTCGGTACCATTGCGCGTGCTGTTGCTGCTTGGCCCACAGCTTTGCAGATTCGCCGGCGAATGTATGACAGATGAATCGCGAGGGGCGAATTTATTTCCGATGCCCGCAATCTTTAGCACGACTCGGAGTCCAGATCGCACCGCAAACAAGAGATCTCACATATCCTCTCCCGAACGGGGTCGATCACTTAGACCGGAGCTTCGGTCGAGCGATATCGAAGCACAGTCGGGGGCAATCCATATTCGCTTTGCTGCTAGCACAGCGCTCTAAAGACCGAAGGACAACACTAAACAACATTATTTGTCAACAGCGCCGGCGATATGTACGTCAAAACCACCTCCTCCCCGAAATCGTTCAGCCAAGTTCCAGAATCCTGCGTATCCCAAGGAATTCTTTTCAACGAGAAGTTCAAAGCTGAAAGCGGACACATAACCTCTTTGCACTCCTTCACATCCTCCTCCTGGTACCCGATCTCCCAAGCCAGCCTGAGCTCCAAGAAAGAGAGCCCGTACGGGTACGAGAGGGTACGAGTGGCTCAAACCTCCTTGAAGAGCGGAGGATCGGCGCCACCTCGCGACTCCAAGACGGAACGTCCTCCGAAACCATGAGTGTGATAAGAGACCTACCTGCCACCTGAGGTCTGAACACCTTGCCTGCAAACTGCCGTACTAAATCCGCCGATCCGGCGTGTGAGTTTCTGAGAGCGCGAGCTTGAGCTCGCTCAAGCTTCGTTGTCGGGGGGGGGGGGCTGACGCCATGGCTGATGTCATTCAGGCCCGGAAAGGGGGAGGGGGGCGGGGACCTCGCTCAAGCTTCGCTCTGTCGGGGGGGGGGGGCTGACGCCATGGCTGACGCCATTCAGGCCTGGGAGGGAGGAGGCGGGGGGGACGCCATGGCTGACGCCATTCAGGCCCGGGAGGAGGGAGTCGGA